CCGTGGTCAGCGACCTGGGGGGATAAAAAGATACCGATCGAGCTACTCTCCGGACCTCTTCCGATGCGCGTTCTCACCAGGACGCCAAGGCGAATCCAGCCGTGGCGACGGAGGCCCCCCTTCTGAGGAATCCCAGGCATGAAACGAACCAGGGAGAACCGCATCGGCACCGGTACGCCAGGCTCGTGCCATGACGACCTCAGCTCTGGTTCCTGACACTGCGTGGACACTGCGTGGGTCGCTCAATCATGGCATGGAAACCTCGGCTTGCTGACAGCGCACAGCGTCCGGTGCCGGCCGATGCTGGGCCACCCCGGGCGGCGCTCCACCGAGCCCGGGCGAACCCGCGGCGTGGTTCCCCCCTTCGGCTGCGCGCAAGAGTGACCTTCGGTGCGCAGCTCTTGGGGGCGCGAGGGGGCCAAACCCAAAGGGCGCGGGCCGCTTATATCGCGTCGCGCTCGGCGATCGGGGGGAGCCCGATGAGCCCGCACCCAAAGGTCACTCCGGCGAAGGGCCACTCTTACGTGTAGTCGACCCCTGCGCCTCCCGACCGTCGGCCGCTCGAGACTGGTCCCCGGAGCCCTGCTGGGGCCCGTCCTGGCCGCGTGTTCGTCCCAGGTTGTCTCGTGGCGGTCGCGGGGGCTCGAGCACGGCTCCCGAACGACGAAGACGGAAAGAACCCGACATGTAATGTCAAAAACAGTTTAACAAATTTTGGGGGGATACAATTTAAAAAATGGTTTTCCCCAGCGCTGTAGTGCGCCTACAGAAAACAAAAGGGAGGCGGGGCAAACTGGATCGCTGGAGACGTCCCCGCGACTGCCCTGGCGCCCTGCGTGCAGGGGCAGATTCCTGCGCACCCCCTCTTGGCGTCAGGCCACGCCTGCCACGCCCTGCGACCCCAGCGTGGATAGAGACTGCGCTCAAGGACCACTCCCTGCGCACCGCGCACCCTGTCTATGTTGCGAACAAGCCACACCTGACACGCCCGAGCCTGGCGTGGAAAGAGACCGCACTTGGGGACCATCCCATGCGCACGCCCTCTGGTGCCGAGAGGGCCACAAGTGTTGTAAGCCACATCAGACCGGCGACGTGTGATGAAAATGTTATGCAACAGGACAGGAGAGGGGCTAGACCAGGTTACGACGAAGGCCGGATCGCCCCCCAGGCCAGAAAGGCCCTCAGCAAGCAGCTCAGTTCGAGGCCGCACCAAGGCTACACCAGGTTACAGCGAAGGTCGCACCGCCCTCTGGGCCAAATTTGCGGGGCTACACCAGGATACGATGAAGGCCGCCCCCCCTCTGGGCCACGCAAGCGGGGCTACACCAGGTTACAACGCGGGCAGGCGCGCCCTCCAGGCTAGACATAATTGGCTACACCAAACTACAATGTCACATCGGCATTCTCCCTGGTACCGAGGTATATACAAGTGGCATCGATCGGCATCCATGGAATTTTTTCCAGGGGGGAAAGATGAACAAATAATTATTCGGATGCGAATTAATGGCAGTCGGAATCCGGGGGGGGGGGGGAAGGGGGGGGTCATCATTTGTTTAACCGGTTTTGGACATTACGGCCGGACCTCGGACAAAGAGAACATCCTTGAAGAACATGAGACCCTCCGCCGGTCAAACTGCAGAATATTCGAGGGTACCCTCCCCCTGAGTGCACAAGAAGATTCAACAAAGACGAAGAGCATTTAAGGTGCCCTCCCCGAACCGACTCGATCTTATACCCCGGCGCGACCGTAATGAAAACGAGACGCAAGAGAAACTATCCTCGGTGCTTGTCTTCCTCCTCGGAAGCGCAGCACGCTGCTCTCCCCATGACGGCCCTCGAAGACAAAAAAGGCATACGCAGGATTTCTCCTGAGGTCCGCGCCGATCCAAGAAGTCCGCGCGGACCTTAAAGTATTTATGTTTACAGCAGAGGCCCGGTCAAACCAACAGGTGGGCCCGTGATCGGGCGGGGCACGATTTGGAACAAATGAGCAGTGCAACCCGCATGCGTGATGTGCAGGAAGTGCACGACGACCGAGCAAGTTTTGTGGCACTGCGCAGGAAGGGGGGTCAGGGCAGGGACGGGAGGGAGGGGTGAAGGAGAACAATCTGGCCCGTTCCTCCTCGGACCTCAGGGACATGATGCTTACATCGGGAGCGGCCAAGAGGGGGGCGTCCAAGAGGGGGGGGTGCAAATCATGACCGGCGGCATGTGCGCGGCCCAGCGGGGGGCCAGGGACGTAATGAAATGAGAAGAGGCGCCATGAAATCTGGGGAAACATCATGGACCACGCCATGATATCCCACCCCCTAGTCATCACCCCCCTTTTTTCCGCCCCCGATTACAGTTGTTTTGTTGCTCGAGGCCTGCTTGGTGTACCACTTGAGCAGCTGGCGCGGGCTGCTGCGCCAGCTCCTGGCCGCGGCGGCACGCGACATGGGGCCCCGCCGCCGCCGCGCCGCGGCGTCCCGCTCCCCCCGGGGGCCGCCGCGGCGCCGCCGGGGACGCCGTCGGATGGGGAGGAGGAGGAGGAGGAGGAGGAGGAGGAGGAGGAGGAGGAGGAGGTGGAGGAGCAGGAGGAGGAGGAGGAGGAGGAGCAGGAGGAGGAGGAGAAAGAGGAGGATCGAGAGGAAGGCGGAGCAGCACTGCCACAGGAGAGGTCAGAGGAGGTCAGAGGGGAAGGATCGAGAGGGAAAAGGATCGAGGAGGAGCAGGAGAAGGATCGAGAAAGATAAGAGGAAGGAACAGGTCAGGTGGAAGCAGGAGAAGGATCAAGAAAGATCGAGGGGTAGTAACACTGCCACAAGAAAGGTCACAGGAGGTCAGAGGGTAAGGCTCGAGAGGATGGAGGATCGAGGAGGAGCAGGAAAAGGATCGAGCAAGAGAAGAGTAAGGAGCAGGTCAGGTGGGACCAGGCGAAGGATCGAGAAGGATCGAGGGGGAGTAGCACTGCCACACAAGAGGTCAGAGGAGGTCAGATGGAAACAAAAACGGGGAGCGGCTATCGGAGAGGATCTTCTCTGCACCACTGTCGGGGGGCGCCATCCCAATGGGCCAGCGACACGCCACACCCAGAAGGAAAAGACGAGCAGACGCAGCGAACACGACCAAGGGAGAACGAGGAGGAGGAGGAGGAGAAGGAGGAGGACAAAGAGTTGTCGCCGAGATGCGCGCACGCACAACAAGGATTCAACGGCTCGGCATGGCCCTCGTGGCTTTAAAAGCCTTGGCCTTGGCTGAGTGGCCTGGCCATTTGCGTTTCAGACGACCATCTAAATTAGCCGTGCCTGTCCTGCGCAGGATCTTGTCGCGGGGTTTGGCTAGGCTCCTTTTCACCTCTCCATGACGATCGGCGCACATAGCAAACTCTAAGTCAGACGTGCCTACCTTGCGCAGGACCTTGTCGCATGGTTTGGCTAGGCTCTTGTTTACCCCCCATGCCGATCGACGCACATAGCAAACAAGCCCACCCGCTAGTGTGTTCGGACAGCGGCACCTGGTGGGTGCTATGCACGTCCTGGCTGCCTATAGGCAGCTCGGCCCGGGGTGGGAGATCTCATCGGGATCCGAGTGCCCCGCAATTGGACTGGAGCCATTCCTTAAGACTGTCTCGGTCCCACGCTGCCAGCTTCTGCTTACAAGCTGAGCAGAGCAGTCGCTTCTGGCCGCGCCTTGTGAATCCCGCAGCATGTGGGGACTCGTCGAACGACGGATTGAAGCGTTTGACCCCGATCGGGGCCTTGAGACGCTTAAACTTCTGGGCCTGGACTCGCTCAGATCTGTTTTCGCTTGTAGCGCACCGGATTCCGAGAAGAGCGATCCACGTAGGAACGAGTTCAGACTCTCTGTCGAGTAGCAGGACGGGACTCGTTAACCTCCTCAGTCAGCTGGCAAGCGCCAGCCTCATGTCCTGCTAAACAATCGGCCTCCGCAGTAGCTTGGATCCAAGCTGCGTGGACGTCCTTTCGAGACGACTGATCCCGATCTTGGTGGCTCTCAACCTTGACAAGGTTGATGCAATTCCATTTGCTGCCTGCGACGTTCTCCAACCGCTTCCAAATATCACGATTTCTCTGAAATTTCCGCAGCCCGAGTCGGAGACGCCTCCAGCCCCTCATGACGTATGCGCGGTCCGTAACGACATGTGTACCGCCTCTGCCGGCTGCATACAAACGATCAGTGCCGTCGCTTCCGCACAGTTGATCGTTTGCCTGTGGCCTCCTGGCTGGCAGCTGCGCCCTCTTAGTCGCTGGATTGACCCCGCAAGCGGATCAGCGAAAGCCAGCCATCCGCAGGCACACCTACGAAGCCTCGGATCCCCGCTGCAGTGCCCTCTCAGACCATCTCCCGCAACCCCAGGTGGGCCCGCGCTGGGTCCAGCTTGGGCCCCTGACTCGAGGCCCCCACCCCGAAGCGGTGACCGCGGGAGCCTTTGGAGGCCCTCGGGCAACGGTCCGGGGGGCTCAGATGAGGCCTCGAACAAAAAAAAAAACACGTGAGGCGAGGTCGCTCAGGGCTCGGTCGTCCAACTCCTGTCCTGGGAGTCCCTCAACTTCTGCATTCTCGCAATACCTCCGGACACGATGTTGTAGGCTCCCTGGTTGTAGTCGTCCTCTCGGGTAAATCGGGCACTGTTCTGGGTAAGTCTCCTGCACCCCTCCCGCTGGTCCACCATCCGGTGCAAGCTGTGATCATGAGTCATGAGTGTTCCTGTCAGGGCGTGCTCGCCTAGGCGCTCCTGCTTGTTCAAGAGCCTCCGATAGCTTTGCAAATCTGTCCTTCGTGAGTCCCACATCGTAGTCGAAACTGGAAACATTCTACCAACATCTGTTCTCTACGCTGGATACAAATGCTGCCAAAAGACTGGTCAAAGTCCCTGAAAGCCTCTCCAGATGTTCGAGAACGTGTTTAAATCTAGCTTCCAGTTGTTTGCTTCTGGTTCCTGCCAGCGGAGAGGCTTCATCGGGGTCTAATTGGGATCAGGAAGGTGATGATGATAGCTGAGATGCGGCCTCGGCTCTGTACCGCCTACGCGAGGACTTGATGTCTTCGAATATGGTTCAGATTTTGCTCCATGACAAATGTATTATGGAGTAGCTGTCTGTGCCGCTCGGGAGCAACTGAAAGAATTCTGTGAGCAACTCCATGACCGCGGCCAGCCCTTGAAATTTCGTCCGCGTATCCCGGGTTCGCAACGTGGTTGAGCATACTCCTCCTTTTGGATAATATGCCCTGCCAGCTGACGCAACCTCCTGATACTCGCCGCGCTAACACCGAAAAACTTCGCCTCGTACGTTCCAATCATCGCTTGCGCATTTCGCCCCCGCATCAGGATTCACGGGAGTGGCATGCTCAAATTCTCGTTCGCGCCGTCAGAATCACAGCCGACCCTAGACCTGCCTCGTTTTGCGCTCTGGGTGTACATGTATACATACATATATAAATGTGTATTCTCTCTCTCTCTGTATATATATATATATATATATATATATGTCTGCACGCAAACACGCGATACATACATGTAATCATATATATATTATATATATATATATATATATATATATTATATATAATATATGCAGACACGCATGCGTATACGTATACATATACATCTACACATACATGTACGTACACATTTACATGCACCCAACTACATCTACATATGCATGGGTGTTTGTATGTATGCATATCTGTATGTATATACTTATCAGTACTTACATGTACAAACACATTGTATACATAGAAGACTGCATTGGCGCTTCGCGCCATGCACCTTGCGCGCCATGCACCTTGGTCCCTCAAGCATTGCATCTGTTGGCACATGTCGCCATCCTCTTTGACCTTTTTGGCCATTTCCAGTCCAGTGTGCTCGTCATTTCCTATTTGCTCTTGCCCTCGCTGTACAGGTCCGTGCGCCACACGAACTTTTCTTGGGATGCATTTTGGTTCGAATTTCGAGGCGGACCCGATCCCGTGGCGCGAGAACGCCACCTGGAGACTGCGACAGAACAGTCGGAACAAAAACACGTGCCTTCTTCGTGCGATCCTGTGCTGGCTGGTGTCGCAACGGCCTGCGCGTCGACTTTTGACACCACTTGGACCGTTCAACCGTGAACGATCACGCATTCCAGATCAACGCCGGCCGAGTCCTGACCACTGGTGGCACGCGACTTGCAAGTCCGAGTGGATCGGTGCAGCTGGCGATTGCTGAAGTCAGTTCGTTCGTGAAGCTCTTCGCAACGGATGCATTGTAGGATGTCTTGTTTGGCGGCTGACCGCGATTGTGTCTGCCGCCGACTGGCAAACGACTTCCAGGCACGATTGGACTGCTGGAGTTGTGCCGTGGAGCATGACTCTGCAGGCAGGGCTTCGCCACAATCAGAACCGAAACATGGGTACGTAAACGGTTGAAGAACATGTTCCCATGAATGACTTGAGAAAGCCCTCGCGTGGCGCACACACTGTCCCGCTTGTGGCCCAGGCTGCCCGGGTGCGCAAGGCGAAGCGATGGCAACCCGCGCGAATTGATGCCACACACTTCCGCTGAATACTAAGCACTTCCGCTGAATACTAAGCAATGCAATCTGAAGCAATCTGCAACGTATTTGGGCATACACCGAATCCCGGTTTCGCCACGGATTTCAAGGGAATGTTGCTGCGAAGCCGGGATTCGGGACAATTATTGTGTGAATTTTGTAGGCGACGCCTTCTGCAAGATGCATGATGGTGCAGGGGAATGGCGTTCGGGGTCCTTCGCGTGGCTACCACCCGGGCTCCCTCGTGGTCCAAGTCGCCCGCTCGCGCAATGCAAGGCAATGGAAAGCAATGCCTCATCATTCTTCATCGTAATTCTCGTTCTTCCAGGCTCTCGCCTGGAATTGCGAACCATGTTCCGTCTGCCGCAGGTCTTTTTGCGGAGGCTCGTCGTTGGAGAACCCCTTGAGGGCCTCACGAACGCCTCTCGATGGCCTTGGGGACCTCTTGTAGCCTCCTGGGCGCCTCTTTGGGCCTCTGGGCCTCTTTTGAAGTCCGTGTGGGAAGTCTTGGGTCCCTCTTGGGCCGTCCTGGGGGCCTTCTTGGGGAACTTGGGCCCTCTTGGGGACCTCCCATGTCCCTCGTGGCTCTCTCTTGGGAGCCTTTTGCGGGCCTCGTGAGCTTCTTTTCGCCGTCTTTGGGGCAGTCTTTGGGGTCCTCTTGGCGCGGCTTGAAGCCCTCCTGGAAGCCCTTACTAGGCCTAGGCGACGGGCCAAAATCGGTCAGGAGCCAGACACCCACCAAACGCCCGAAGACGACCCAAAGAAGACCTCCAAGAGGCTTCCAAAACGCAGAGAATATTGACTTTTCAAAAGATTGTTGCTGCATGGATTTGGGACTGCCCCGTTCTTCGGTCCTCTGGGCGTCCGAGACCGCCTGGGAGGCTCGACAATCGTAACAAAATCATCCGAAAGTGTTTCCTGGCAGTCCAAGGGAGCCCCAAGACTGCACAATAGGGTTCCAAGA